ATGTCTAAGTGGCTGTTTGGTTCACTATTTTTGTAAAAAAACTTTATAGAAACCCCTACACAGTAGCAGTTATGTAATTAATTGATTTCTGAAGTTTTTTTAAAATCGTACGTGTTTGGTTCATCACCTTTTTATATAAATATTTCTATAAAGTAGAGAAGATGGTGTATTTTATAGAAATTAACTTAAAATTGCTTAGAAATCTGACACATTGAAGTAAATAATAATTTTTTTTTTTATAAAACTTACCCATTTTCACTTCTCAACCCATTTTCTATAATGTTGGTTTTCCTCTTTTCATATTTTGAACCGAACATGAAAAGAGTCAAAAAAGAAAGGAAAAAGGAAAAAGAAAACACCACTTTTTGAGATTCTCTAAAACTTTTCCTATTAGTTTTATATAAATGCATGTAAATTAAAATTTGGGTGCTTTTCCCTTTCTTTTCTTTTCATTTATTTATAGAAATCGAACTAAACTGCCTCTAACTACATTATTAATTAAAGGTCGTTTAGGAAAGTAGGTAACTAGCTAGGCTTTTTCAGGAGAGTACATACTACTAGAATTGGGATCCTGGTAAGGAAAAGGATAAAGCACCATCAACATTAAAAGTAATTAACTATACCGTCCTTATCGAATCTTATAATATTTGTGATAATCTATTCAACTACTAGTTTTCTTGATCATGCAAGTTATCATATATTTTAATGTTCCATAAAAATCAGATGCACTCAAGTAACGAACCAAAGCAAAAAATTTTCATTTTCCTACTTAAATCGAGCATCGTAGCTTAACCAATCTACCCGCAAAAATGAAGATGCATGTAGATAAACTCAAGACATATACGTGACTACCGTAAAATCTCTCAAAGCACAGGGATGCGACGCGTCGGTACTGATCTCATCCGCAAGAGGAGATGCCGAGAGGGACGCAGCCGACAATCTCTCCCTTGCTGGCGACGGTTTCGACACCGTCGACAAAGCCAAACAAGCGGTCGAGGCTCAATGCCCTGGAGTCGTCTCCTGTGCCGATATTCTAGCATTGGCTGCCAGGGATGTGGTTGTACTGGTACGCAATACTTCCTCGCACATTTTGCCAAATTTTGCAACAAATCTTTTCCGTTGCCAGCTCTGGGCTACACTTGGATTCTTGAACTCGTTTTGGCAAGAACTGGTTTAGTTGTGGATCAATTAAACCAGCCCAAGTTTTGCCAATCACATAAACAGTCTAAAATTGAACTGATCCTACGATTAAAATTGTGGATGATTGATTTGTACTATTCTGTTATTCTTCAGTCCGGAGGTCCCTGGTTCAACGTGGAACTCGGCCGCCGTCTACTCCTTCAGCTCCCAGTCCCGGGCCGACCCATCTCTCAACGCAACATATGCACGACAGCTGATGCAGGCTTGTCCGAGGAACGTGGACCCGAGGATCGCGGTGAATATGGACCCGACTTCTCCGAATCGATTCGATAACGAGTATTTCAAGAACCTTGTGAAGGGTAGGGGGTTGTTTACTTCGGACCAGACGCTGTTTAGCAGTGCGATGACGAGGGGGACGGTGAACGCGTTTGCGAATAATCCGAGGAGTTTTGCGCAGGCGTTTGCG